TTCTAATTTTCATTTTTTTTTATCATTTTGGATAAAATAGCACAAAAGTTAAATTCCTTAATGTCCAAAAGAAAATTCCACAGTAGTTTTTCATTAAGAGCTCCTTCAAATTGTTTCCGCCCAGTTTCGAACTGGGGACCTTTAGCGTGTTAGGCAAACGTGATAAACAATACACTACGGAAACCAACACTGTTGTAATTTTCACATTTTTATTTCAAATCATTTTGGATAAAATAACACAAAAGTTAAATTCCTTAATGTCCAAAAACAAAATACCACTGTAGATTTTCAGAAAGAGCTCCTTCATGTTGTTTCCACCCAGTTTCTAACTTGGGACCTATTGCGTGTTGGGCAAACATGATAACCACTACACTACGGAAACCTACACTGTTCTGATTTTCATTTTTTTTTATCATTTTGGATAAAATAGCACAAAAGTTAAATTCCTTAATGTCCAAAAACAAAATACCACAGTAGATTTTCAGAAAGAGCTCCCTCATGTTTTTTCCGCCCAGTTTCTAACTGGTGACCTATTGCGTGTTAGACAAACGTGATAACCACTACACTACGGAAACCTACACTGTTGTAATTTTCACATTTTTTTCAAATCATTTTGGATAAAATAACACAAAAGTTAAATTCCTTAATGTCCAAAAGAAAATTCCACAGTAGATTTTCATTAAGAGCTCCTTCAAATTGTTTCCGCCCAGTTTCGAACTGGGGACCTTTTGCATGTTAGGCAAACGTGATGACCACTACACTACAGAAACCTACATTGTACTCATTTTCATATTTTTTTCAATAATTTTGTATAAAATAACACAAAAGTTAAATTCCTTAATGTCCAAAAACAAAATACCGTTGTTTCCGCCCAGTTTCGAACTGGGGACCTTTTGCGTGTGAGGCAAACGTGATGACCACTACACTACGGAAACCTACACTGTTGTAATTTTCACATTTTTCTCAATCATTTTGGATAAAAAAAAACACAAAAGTTAAATTCCTTAATGTCCAAAAAGAAAATTCCACAGTAGATTTTCATTAAGAGCTCCTTCAAATTGTTTCCACCCAGTTTCGAACTGGGGACCTTTTGCGTGTTAGGCAAACATGATGACCACTACACTACGGAAACCTACACTGCTGTAATTTTCACATTTTTCTCAATCATTTTGGATAAAAAAAACACAAAAGTTAAATTCCTCAATGTCCAAAAAGAAAATTCCACAGTAGATTTTCATTAAGAGCTCCTTCAAATTGTTTCCACCCAGTTTCGAACTGGGGACCTTTTGCATGTTAGGCAAACGTGATGACCACTACACTACGGAAACCTACATTGTACTCATTTTCATATTTTTTTCAATAATTTTGTATAAAATAACACAAAAGTTAAATCCTTAATGTCCGAAAAGAAAATTCCACAGTAGATTTTCATTAAGAGCTCCTTCAAATTGTTTCCGGCCAGTTTCGAACTGGGGACCTTTTGCGTGTTAGGCAAACGTGATGACCACTACACTACAGAAACCTACACTTTTCTTATTTTCATATTTTTTTCAATAATTTTGTATAAAATAACACAAAAGTTAAATTCCTTAATGTCCAAAAACAAAATACCACAGTAGATTTTCAGAAAGAGCTCCTTCATGTTGTTTCCGCCCAGTTTCTAACTGGTGACCTATTGCGTGTTAGACAAACGTGATGACCACTACATTACAGAAACTTACATAGTTCTAATTTTCACATTTTTTTCAATAAATTTGGATAAAATAACACAAAAGTTAAATTCCTTAATGTCCAAAAACAAAATACCACAGTAGATTTTCATTAAGAGCTCCTTCAAATTGTTTCCACCCAGTTTCGAAATGGGGACCTTTTCCGTGTTAGGCAAACGTGATGACCACTACACTACAGAAACCTACACTGTTGTAATTTTCACATTTTTTTTCTATCATTTTGGATAAAATAACACAAAAGTTAAATTCCTTAATGTCCAAAAACAAAATACCACAGTAGATTTTCAGAAAAAGTACCTTCTTGTTGTTTCCACCCAGTTTCGAACTGGGGACCTTTTGCATATAAACGTGATGACCATACATACGTGATAACCACTACACTACGGAAACCTACACTGTTGTAATTTTCATATATTTTTTGATCATTTTGGATAAAATAACACAAAAGTTAAATTCCTTAATGTCCAAAAACAACAAATACCACAGTAGATTTTCAGAAAAAGTTTCTTCTTATTGTTTCCGCCCAGTTTCAAACTGGGGACCTTTTGCGTGTTAGGCAAACGTGATGACCACTACACTACGGAAACCTACACTGTTGTAATTTTCACATTTTTTTCTATCATTTTGGATAAAATAACACAAAAGTTAAATTCCTTAATGTCCAAAAACAAAATACCACAGTAGATTTTCAGAAAAAGTTCCTTCTTGCTGTTTCCGCCCAGTTTCGAACTGGGGACCTTTTGCGTGTTAGGCAAACGTGATAAACAATACACTACGGAAACCAACACTGTAACCACAAATGTTTCACAACCTAGGAGAAACTGGAGACTTAACACATCATTGCTTAAAGACCAGGAATTTATAAATTATTTTAAAAAAGAATGGGAAACCTTTATGGAAATTAATGACACCCCAGGAATTTCAGCGTGTGTTTTATGGGAGACTGCAAAAGTAGTAATGCGAGGTAGAATAATTTCATTCTCATCATTTAAGAAAAAACAAGAAACTAGGAAAGAGCAAGAATTAGAATTAAAAATTAAATCCCTCGAAACTGCTTATACAGACAACCCCAAGAAAACATCCTGAAAGATTTAAGGCAAACTAAATTAGAACTGAATATCCTAATCAATAAAAAAACTCAATTTCAAATCGAAAGACTACGGCTGGATAACCTCAAACATGCTAACAGGTGTGGCAAGTTTTTAGCAGGTCTACTAAAAAATAACAAGGAAAAACAAACTATCTCATCAGTAATTAACAAAAATGGACAACTTGTCCACGACCCCCAAGACATTAATAATACTTTCAGGGAATTTTATAAAAATTTATATACATCTCAAATTAACCCATCGCCAACCGAAATTGAATTATTCTTAAAGAATCTGGAATTACCAAAACTATCAAACGAACAGATAGGAAATTTAGAATCACCAATATCTTCTACAGAACTCCACGAGGCTCTACAACAAATGCCAAATAAAAAAGCACCAGGGCCAGATGGTTATCCAGCAGAGTTCTACAGAGAGTTTCCGCAAGTGCTGGAACCTACCTTTAGCAGAATGGTAGTTGAAATTAAGTCTGAAGGAAAAATACCATCAAACATGAACTTAGCTTTCATAAGTTTACTCCTAAAACCAGGGAAGGACCCCACACTGCCATCAAGCTATAGACCAATTTCTCTTATAAATGTAGACTTAAAAATAATTTGCAAAGCTATCGCTAAAAAGCTGGAAAAAATTACCCCTCATATTATTCATGCAGACCAAACAGGTTTTATCAAGGGTAGACACTCAACAAATAACATGTACAGACTAATTAACCTGATTGACCTAGCAAACAACACGAGTCTAGAATCTGCCATTATCTCTCTAGATGCAGAAAAAGCTTTTGATAGAGTTAACTGGAAATTTCTAATGGCAACACTTCGTAAATTTGGATTCGGTAACTCTTTTATAGAATGGATCCAAATTCTATATAGCTCTGCGAATGCGTCAGTTAGAACAAATGAACAAACTTCATCTAGATTTAACCTTCAAAGAGGAACCAGACAAGGCTGCCCACTCTCTCCCTCACTATTTGCTATTTTCATTGAACCGCTGGCGCAAGCAATTAGGCAAAACATTAAAATTACTGGAATAAGTACAAAAATATACATCACAATATAAGTCTTTATGCAGATGATGTGTTATTATTTCTCCTTCATCCACATCTCTCTCTTCCAGCAGCTATTACTGTTATTGAATCATTTTCAGCTGTCTCTGAATACTCTGTAAACTGGGGGAAATCAACAGTTATGCCACTCAACACGGTTCTTCAGAACCCTTCCTTCTCCACCACTTTTAATTCGGGGAATATTAAATATCTTGGCATTGAATTCTCACCGAGGCTGTCGGATCTGGTACAACTAAATTACTCACCACTTCTTAAAAGAATAGAGGATGACCTCAAAAGATGGCAACACTTACCAATTTCACTTATGGGAAGGGTTGCCAGCATTAAAATGATGGTCATGCCCAGAATTAATTATCTGTTATCAATGATTCCTAACCAGCCGTCCCGGGATTGGTTCAAATCATTGGACTCTCATTTCTCCAGATTTCTATGGAAAGGCAAACCTCCACGCATTAGCTTGCACAAGCTTAGGAAATCCAAAGACTGCGGTGGCCTGGAGCTCCCAAACGTATACCATTATTTCCTATGCCATAGAGTGCTGCACTTGTACCAATGGATTAATTCTAATTCGACTGAACTCACCTGGCTCGACATTGAACAGACATTTTGCAAAGAAATTAAGATAGCAGATTTACCGTTTATAAGCTCTAAGATTAAACATCACAACTGCTTTCAGAATATCAGCATACGTACTTCACTGACAGCCTGGTGGGAATTTCTTAAGATAACGGGCTCACCGCTTGCTCCTTGCCAGCACACACCAATTTGGAACAACCCAGACTTCTTACTAAACAAAAGGGCAGTATATTTTCCAAATTGGCAAAATAATGGAATAACACATTTTAGACATATAATTGTCAACAACAAAATAATTTCATTTGAAGATTTGGTTCTTAAATACGGATTACCAACTAACAAATTTTTAGAATATCAACAGCTCAAATCTATCATTCTTTCAACATGCAAAAAGCACATGACTCTGCAGCTACCCACAGTAATTGAACAATTTATTGGGTTGACAACCCCGAGGTTAATATCCAAAATCTATAAATTACTGTTAAAAACAGACAATATTGTATGTCTCCCCACCACTAAATGGAACGAAGAGTTATCTGTAAATGGAAATCAACCATTCTGGAACCGGATATGCTTAAACACATTTAAAGCATCTACAAACCCAAATTTGCAACTAATACAGTATAAAATACTTGACCGAACTCACTACACAGGTCAAAGATTGTTCCAGATGGGTCTCTCAGACACTAACATTTGCCAACACTGCACTAACAATACAGTTGACCACTATCTACATGCTCTTTGGTCCTGTACACCAGTGCAAAAATTCTGGCAAGAAGTCTGCTGTCAGCTAACATCATGGGTTAACCACCTCATTTTACCAACTCCAGCACTGTGCTTATTGGGTGACCTAGACAGTACACAGTTAGAACTCGAGGCTAACACATCACTATTAATTCTCACT